ATGTCGGGGGAATTGAAGGGATCGGGGGGATGAAAATTATTGGGGGAATTAAAATGTCGGGGGAATTGAAGGGATTGGGGGATGAAAATTATTGGGGGAATTAAAATATCGGGGGAATTAAAGTGATCGGGGGAATGAAAATGATCGGGGAATTAAAATATCGGGGGAATTGAAGGGATCAGGGGGATGAAAATTATTGGGGGAATTAAAATTGTTGGGGAATTGAAATGGGGGAATTAAAATGTCGGGGGAATTGAAGGGATTGGGGGATGAAAATTATTGGGGGAATTAAAATATCGGGGGAATTAAAGTGATCGGGGGGATGAAAATGATCGGGGGAATTGGAATTATCAGGAATTAAAATCGTTGGGGGAATTGAAATTATTGGGGGAATTGAAATTATGGGGGAAATTGAAATGGGGGAATTAAAATTATCGGGGGAATTAAAATTATTGGGGAAATTAAAATTGTTGGGGAATTGAAATGGGGGAATTAAAATTATCGGGGGAATTAAAAATATCGGGGGAATTGAAATTATCAGGAATTAAAATTATCAGGGGGATTAAAATTATTGGGGAAATTGAAATCATCAGGGGAAAAAACAGGCTGGGAATGTTCCCCTGGAGAAGGGAAGGATCCAGGGAGAGCTCAGGGCCTGAAGGGCTCCAGGAGAGGGACTGGGACAAGGCATGGAGGGACAGAAATATTATTATTAGAATTATTCTTAATAATTAATTAGTAATTTATTAATGATAATAACAATAATTATTATTCAGGCATTGGTTGGTTCATCTCCTGTTCAATTGAAGGGGGAAACTCCTGGGAGCAGGGGTGGTAATCCAGGGATCCCTGGGGGAGAGGAGGATGGGGTGGGATTTGGGATGGGATTCCTGGCTGGGAGCGTGGGGCTGGAATTCCGCGGAATTCCCAGGGAAGCTCTTTTCCCAGATAATTCCTGCTTTTCCACCCGTCAGGATCAGCCCCTCCCCTGAGTTTCTGGGTCACCTTCAGCTCTCAGCATTTCCATCCTGAACTGGATAAATTCCATCCCTGGATGTACCCATGGCCAGCTGGGATAGCTCTGGGATAGCTCGAGGTGTCCCAGCCCGGGCAGGGCTGGGAATGGATCTTCTGGATCCTTCCAACCCCAAAATTTGGGAATTCCATGGAACCCAGCCAGCCCCAGCTGGCCGAGCTCGTTCTCCACCCCAAATCCCCCGTGCTGAACAAGGACCAGCCTGTGCTTCCAGGAACGCTCAGGACTATTCCTGCTGCCTGGAATCCTCGGGAATACCCCTCCCCCGGCGGTTTTCCCTGGATTTCCCCCCGTGACGCCCCTGTCTTTGCCGCAGCCCACACCAAGGACATGCCCTTCACCTGCGAGACCTGCGGGAAGTCCTTCAAGCGCAGCATGTCCCTCAAGGTGCACTCCCTGCAGCACTCGGGGGAGAAGCCCTTCCGCTGCGAGGTGAGGGAATTCCCGGGGCAAATCCCGGGGGGAGATCCTGGGAATGCTCCCGGGAGGTGGGAATGGCCTTGGGTGGGGTGGGAACCAGGGGCGGTTCCGTCAGAGTTTGGGAATTGTCTGCATAATCGGGCACAAGCAGTTCATGTGCCAGTGGTGTGGCAAGGACTTCAACATGAAGCAGTACTTCGACGAGCACATGAAAACCCACACTGGTAAGGGCCGGGGGGGTCCCTGCCGGGCATTCCCACGGGATTCCCTCGGGATTCGGGGTGTTCTCCCGCTGGCACAGCGGCTGGGAGAGCTTCGTGCCCCGCCTTGGATCTGTTTGTGTTCTGGTGTGACAGTCGGAGCTGGGGTTCCCTGCGGGGAAATGGGAATTATTGCTGGGGTGTTTTGGTCTGGGGGAGCCCCTGGCCGGAGCCTTGGGGCCCCAAATCCTGAGGGGAGCCAGGATTTCAGAGCTTTTTGGCCCCAAACCCAGCCTGAGCCAGGATTTCAGAGCCTTTAAAACCCAACCTGAGCCAGGATTTCAGAGCCTTTTGACCCTAAACTGAGCCAGGATTTCAGAGCCTTCTGACCCCAAACCCTGAGGGGAGCTGGGATTTCCTAAACCCCCATTGATCCATAAAGGCAGTGGTGTTTCCCAGGGCTCAGGTGATTTTCCCAGGGCTCAGGTGATTTTCCAGGGGGTTCTCCATGGCTCAGGGGGTTCTCCATGGCTCAGGTAATTTTTTCAGGGGTTCTCCCAGGGGCTCAGGTGATTTTCCCAGGGCATTCTGCATGGCTCAGGGGGTTCTCCGTGGCTCAGGGGGTTCTCCATGGCTCAGGTGATTTTTCCAGGGCTTCTCCCAGGGGTCAGATGATTTTTTCAGGGGTTCTCCATGGCTCAGGTGATGTTTGGGAAATTTGAATCACTGAGGGGTGGTGCCAGCACAGTTCCCTCCCCAGGGGTCTTTGGAGGGATCTGAAGGGGGTAAATCCATGGGATAAATCCATGGGATAAATCCATGGGATAAATCCCTGGGGAGCTGCTAGGAGCTGGTTTGGAGGGAAGCAGAGTCCTCTAGTGGAGAGAGACCTGGACACGCACAGAAACGCGTTTTCCTGGAATAACCCCATCCCCGCCAGGCTTTCCCTCACAATCCCAGCTTTTTCCACTCAATTCCAGCTTTCCCCACTCCATTCCAGCTTTCCCCCCTCAATTCCAGCTTTTCTCTCACAATTCCAGCTTTTCCCTCACAATTCCAGCTTTTCCCCTCTCAATTCCAGCTTTCCCCACTCCATTCCAGCTTTCCCCTCCCAATTCCAGCTTTTCCCTCACAATTCCAGCTTTCTCCCCTCCCGATCCAAACCTTCCTTCAATCCCTCACTTCCATCCCTTCTTTCCCTGAGCTGTTGCTGCCCAGCCCCACCTCCCTCCCCTCCCCTCCCCTCCCCTCCGTGGCTCATTCCCAGCTTCCCAAAGCCCCGACATTCCCGTTTTTCCCGGCAGAACTGCGACGAGAGGTTCCAGTACAAGTACCAGCTGCGCTCCCACATGAGCATCCACATCGGGCACAAGCAGTTCATGTGCCAGTGGTGTGGCAAGGACTTCAACATGAAGCAGTACTTCGACGAGCACATGAAAACCCACACTGGTAAGGGCCGGGGGGGTCCCTGCCGGGCATTCCCACGGGATTCCCTCGGGATTCGGGGTGTTCTCCCGCTGGCACAGCGGCTGGGAGAGCTTCGTGCCCCGCCTTGGATCTGTTTGTGTTCTGGTGTGACAGTCGGAGCTGGGGTTCCCTGCGGGGAAATGGGAATTATTGCTGGGGTGTTTTGGTCTGGGGGAGCCCCTGGCCGGAGCCTTGGGGCCCCAAATCCTGAGGGGAGCCAGGATTTCAGAGCTTTTTGGCCCCAAACCCAGCCTGAGCCAGGATTTCAGAGCCTTTTAAACCCAACCTGAGCCAGGATTTCAGAGCCTTTTAAACCCAACCTGAGCCAGGATTTCAGAGCCTTTTGACCCTAAACTGAGCCAGGATTTCAGAGCCTTCTGACCCCAAACCCTGAGGGGAGCTGGGATTTCCTAAACCCCCATTGATCCATAAAGGCAGTGGTGTTTCCCAGGGCTCAGGTGATTTTCCCAGGGCTCAGGTGATTTTCCAGGGGGTTCTCCATGGCTCAGGGCGTTCTCCATGGCTCAGGTAATTTTTTCAGGGGTTCTCCCAGGGGTCAGATGATTTTCCCAGGGCATTCTGCATGGCTCAGGGGGTTCTCCGTGGCTCAGGGGGTTCTCCCCGTCCCGCACCCCTACGGCGCCCTGGCCCTGCCGCCCCACGGGCACCACCCCCACGGGCACCACCCCCAGCACCTGCCCGTGCCCCCCGTGCCCCACCTGCCGCCGCCCCCCGCCCTGTTCAAGAGCGAGCCCCTGAACCACCGCGGGCACGGCCACGGGCACGGCGGCGACGGCTTCCTGCGGCACCTGGACAAGGGCAGCCCGGCACAGCCGCACTGACACCGGCTGGCACCCAGGTTTGGGAGCGGGGATATCCAGGTTTGGGAGCTGGGATGGGAGCTGGCACCCAGGTTTGGGAGCGGGGATGGGATCTGGGGTGGGATTGAGCTGCTGTGAGCATGGGCACAGCCACGGCTTCCTGCGGCACCTGGACAAGGGCAGCCCGGCACAGCCGCACTGACACCGGCTGGCACCCAGGTTTGGGAGCGGGGATATCCAGGTTTGGGAGCGGGGATGGGATCTGGGGTGGGATTGAGCTGCTGTGAGCATGGGCACAGCCACGGCTTCCTGCGGCACCTGGACAAGGGCAGCCCGGCACAGCCGCACTGACACGGGCTGGGGTCAGGGACCTGGGACCCAGGATCCAGCTCTGGGATCTGGGATCCAGCTCTGGGATCCAGCCTGGCTCTGGGATCTGATCCAGCTCTGGGATCCAGCCTGGCTCTGGGATCCTCCCTCCCACCACCCCACCCCGCTCCTGGGCCGAGCTCTGCCCCACCCCCCGGGTCCCCTCTCGAGGACCCCCAGGACTGAAACGCCCCAAATTTGTGTTTTCCCGGTGACTTTTCTAAATCCCGGCTCCCGAGCCTGGTGGAATTTTCTAATTTCATATCAGCTGACGAGGTTTGCTTGGCTTTTATATCCTGGCCCTCTCCTCAAAGAGGAGGCGGGCCCGGGCTCTTTGTACTAATGGGAAAGGCTGTGAGTTAATTAATACAGAGCATTAATGATCACTGTGTACGTAATGATTCCTTTCAGCACCCCGAGCTCGGAGCATTCACCCAGAAAAGCAAAAAAAAAAAAACAAAAAGGAAAAAAGAAAAAAAAAAAACCAACAAAAAACCACCCCTCCCGTTGTTTTTGTGTAGCTCTCCTAACACACTTCTTTATTTTACTACAGAAATTATTTTAGAGGTTTTTTGTATAGATCCTATTTAGTAGAGTCTGTTTCTAAAACAAAAAAAAGCCAAAAAAAAAAAAATTGATGATGATAATAATAATAATAATTGTATTTCCATAAACGGTGTAATTTTTTCAGTGTAGCTGCACCTCTGTTGTACAATAGAGAAATTTTTATAATCAGCCCCAATGTGATTCCTCAAAAATGCTTTTCCCAAATTCCCCAACCCCACGACTCCAAGGTGCTTCGGAGAAGAGAGGAAAAAAAAAAAAAACCCAGAGGTTTCTGGAAAAGTCACCCCCAAACCGGCGGCGATTTCTGCATTTAATTTATTTTTTAGGGCTTTTTTGGGTTATTTTTGTTCTTTTTTTAAAATTTTCATTTCCCTTTTCCCGGTTTCTCTTCAGCTGTCGGGGTCAGATATTCCTGCTGGATGTGGATCCAGGAACGGATGGAATTTTATCGGGAGGGAGATTTTCTCCTGCAAACTGGGGGAATTTGGGAATGGGAAGTCCGGGAACAAGCAGGATCTGCCAGCAGGGGGAGGTGACGGACCCGAGTCAGGCAGGAATTCGGTGGCTTTTCCTGGGATCGGTGAGTTTAGGGATGAATCCGGGGCTGCTCTGGAATTCCTGGAATTCCTGAGAGGGGAATGCAGAGGGATCAGGGAATTCCTGGAATTCCTGAGGGGAATGCAGTGGGAGCAGGGAATTCCTGGAATTCCTGAGAGGGGAATGCAGTGGGAGCAGGGAATTCCTGGAATTCCTGAGGGGAATGCAGTGGGAGCAGGAAATTTGGGAATTCCTGAGAGGGGAATGCAGTGGGAGCAGGGATTCTGGAATTCCTAAGGGGAGTGCAGAGGGATCAGGGAATTCGGGAATTCCTGAGAGGGGAATGCAGTGGGAGCAGGGAATTCCTGGAATTCCTGAGGGGAATGCAGTGGGAGCAGGGAATTCCTGGAATTCCTGAGAGGGGAATGCAGTGGGAGCAGGGACTGGGAATTCACGAGGGGAATGCAGTGGGAGCAGGAAATTTGGGAATTCCTAAGGGGAGTGCAGAGGGATCAGGGAATTCCTGGAATTCCTGAGAGGGGAATGCAGAGGAAGCAGGGACTGGGAATTCACGAGGGGAATGCAGTGGGAGCAGGAAATTTGGGAATTCCTGAGAGGGGAATGCAGAGGGATCAGGGAATTTGGGAATTCCAGGGGGAGGATCAGGGCCAGGGAATTCCCAGGAGCTCCTGCCTGTTTTTTTGGGAGATTTTGGGCTGAAGCTGTCCCACAGCCCTGGACGTTCCCGGGCAGCTCCATCCCAGGAATCCTGGATGGTTTTTAGGGCCAGATTTGGGGATTTTGGGCAAACCCAGCTCCAGGATGGGGAGCTGGAGCCGTTCCCCTGGGAATTGCCCCATTCCAGGGGCTGGGACCCCTCAGGTTGGATTTCCCCCCCCCCGGATCCAGGAATTCGCTCCCCCTGCCAGAGCAGTGCCCAGAAAATCCCGAATTCCTGGGAATTCCTGGGAATTCCTCCTCTTTGTGCTGCTTTTCCCACCCCAATCCCACCAAACTCCAACCCGGAGACCCCACGGGGAGCTCTGCCCTGCTCGTGGATTTTGGGATTCACTTTCAGCCAGAAAAGGCAGAATTCTCCCCCAGGACAAAGCTGCCTTGGGAAAACCTCTGGAATTTGCTCCTCCCTGGATGTTTTCCCAGCCTTTTCCTAATCCCAGAGTTGGGTTTTCCACAACTTTGGAAATTTCAGGGTCGTTTTGGGCCCAAACCCCTTGTTTTTGGCTGAGCTGGAAGCCCTTCCTGATGAAAGAAATGACATTTTTTAACCATTTCCTCCAGAATATTTAAATCCCCCTCTTCCCCTCTGGCAGGAAAAAATTCCAATCCTGATTTCCCAACTGTTGCAATTCCCTGGAATTCTCTGCATTCCCCCCTGCAGCCGGCAGTGGTGCCACAATTTCCTGCTCAGGATAATCCGGGATAATCCGATTTTTAAATGCTGAAAAACCCCAGAATCAGCCACCAATAATTTGCGCTCCAGGTTTTTCAAAGCCATTTTTCCTCCTCAATAAATTCCCCAGCATTCCAGGCTGCTCTTCCAAGAATTCCAGAATCTGGGATGGTTTTTGGGGTTTGTTTTTTTTTTCCTGCTCTTCAGCTCCGCTCTGTATCGGATCATTCTGAGAATTTATGAACTTCCTTTCTGTGGAAGAAGATTAAAAATTCCAACCCCTCTTCCCGGTCTGGCCGTGGTGTGAGATGCTGGGAGGGCAGGGTGGGATCATTTCCAAAGGAAAAAAAAAAACCAGGAAAATGGGGAAATTTGGTTTAAAAGCAGGAAAATCAAGGCTGGGATTTGTTGTGGTTTCTTAAAACCTTCGCTTTCCATTTTTGCTGCACCCACAGAATTCCACAGGGATGGGAAATTCCAAGGGGTTTGTCCTTTCTGCACCTGTCACTTCTGCTTTATTTCCCCGTTTCATTTTGCTTTCTTTTCCTATTTTATTTTGCTGCTTTCCCCCTTTATTTCCCCATCTCATTTTGCTTTTTCCCTATTTTATTTTGCTTCATTTTCCCACTTTACTTTCCCTTATTTGTCCCCATTTATTTTGCCTTTTTCCCATTTTACTTCGCTGCTTTTTCCCATTTTATTCCTCGGTGGAACCCGGGCTCGGCGCCCCCGGAGCTGCGTGCTTTTCCCGGGAATTCCTTCCTGAGGGTTTGGGATTTAACCGGGAGTTTAGGATTTAACCGGGAGTTTGGGATTTAACCCGGGAGTTTGGGATTTAACCGAGAGTTTGGGATTTAACCGGGAGTTTGGGATTTAACCGAGAGTTTGGGATTTAACCCGAGCCGCATTTTGGGGAGGCGGAGCCGGGAGAGGGCGGCGGAGCTGCCGCAATCCCAAAATCCGGGACAAACCTGGAGCCGGCGGGGCTGGCCCGGCTCCTGCGGGATTCCAGGGCTGGGAAAGGCTCCCGGGGCCGCCAGGAGCGCCCGGCCCGGCCTCTGTCCTCGGCTGCTCCGCAGTGGAAAATCACCGGGAGCGTCCGTGCCAAAGCCCGGGGCTGCGATGGCCCGGGATGGGTCCGGGATGAGCCCGGGATGGGTCCGGGATGAGCACGGGATGGCCCGGAATGGGCCCGGGATGGCCCGGGATGGGTCCGGGATGGGCCCGGGATGGTCCGGGATGGGTCCGGGATGGCCCGGGATGGGTCCGGGATGGTCCGGGTGATCCCGGTGTGGTCTTTGCCCCGCTGGGTCCCGGTGGGAAGGGGCAGCAGCCCCTGCGGAATTCCCCCTCTGGATTCTCCCGCTCGGAGCGGCTCCAGAGGGGGAAATATCCCGGGAGAGGAGGAGAGTCCCAGGCTGAGGAGGGGATAAAAGAATTCCATGTCAGAATTCCCTGTCAGAATTCCCTGCAGGATTCCCTGACAGGATTCCTTCACAGGATTCCCTCACAGGATTCTTCATAGAATTCCCTGCAGGATTCCCTCACAGGATTTCCCTGACAGAACTTCCTAACAGAATTCCCTGACAGAATTCCCTGACAGGATTCCCTCACACGATTCCCTGACAGAATTCCCTGCAGGATTCCCTCACAGGATTCCCTGACAGAACTTCCTAACAGAATTCCCTGACAGAATTCCCTGACAGAATTCCCTGACAGGATTCCCTCACACGATTCCCTGACAGAATTCCCTGCAGGATTCCCTGACAGAATTCCCTGACAGAATTCCCTGCAGCATTCCCTGACAGAATTCCCTGCAGGATTCCCTGCCAGAATTCCCTGCCAGCATTCCCTGACAGAATTCCCTCACACGATTCCCTGCCAGCATTCCCTGCCAGAATTCCCTGCAGGATCCCCTGACGTTCCCCAGAGGCCCGGCGGGGCAGGGTCCCCGGGGCAGGTCCCCGGAGCGCTCCGGGCTCTGCTCTGCGCCGCAATTTTTCCCCGAACGAGCAAAATCCCGACGTTCGGGCTCGGGCACCGGGACAGCCGCCGCTCCTCCCGACCTTTGCAATCGCGGCCGCGCCTTGCCGTCCCTGCAGGCTTTACAATTAAAGTTTAATTAAAAAGCAGCGAAAAGCCCCGAGCTCGGCTGGCCCCGGGGCGCTGCCCGGTATTTTTATCCCGGCGGCTCCTGCGGGCCCGCGATAGCGGCGGGGCCCGGGCGGGGCGCGGGGCCGGCGGCGCTGCCCTGGCACCGCCACCCTGCAATTCCCTGTCCCGGCTCCCAAAATTAGCGCGGGGACCCCGCCCGCTGCGGCCGCACCGCCCCGCCGGGATTTTGGGGACAATTCGGGCGTTTTTCTCGCTCGGCTCCGGGGGTAGAGCCTCCCCCCCGGACGGCTTCGGTTACACAAGCCCGGAGCGGTCACCGGGGGCGGGGGGAGCCCGGCCTTGGGTTGGTTTTTCCCGATTTGGGAACTTTTGGCAGCGGGGCGGGGGCGGCGGGACCCGCGCGGGCGCTCCCCCCTCCCCTCGGAAAAGAGGCGTGGTCTGTTAGAGCCCCGCCCCTCCGCGGCGGGGAAGCTGCGCCGCTATTGGCTGTGTGGGCGATGACGTAGGCGCACTGCGGCGGCTCCGCGCGGCCCCGGTGGCGTCGCTTTAAAGGGGCCGCGCTCGCGGCAGCGCCGGCGGCGGCACCGGCCCCGGAGCGGCCCCGGAGCGGCCCCGAGCCCGGGCTGCCCCCGCGCCGCCCCCGCACTCTCCGGCACCGGGCCGGACCGGGCGCTCCCCGCAGGTTCCGACCCGGTAAGGAGGCGAGAGGCGGCACCGCGGCGGTACCGGGAGATGCCGGATCCGCAACGGCTGCTGCCGGTACCGGCGGGTTTCCCCCCGGCTGGACCCTGCCGGGATCGGATGGTGCCGGTACCGGGGGTCTCCACCCGGCGGGATCCTGCCGGGAGCCGAGCGGATGGTGCCGGTACCGGGGGGTACCGATACTGTTGAACCCTGCCGGTACCGGGGCAGCTCCTGCCGGTACAGGGGGGTCCTGATTCGGTTGGACCCTGACGGTACCGGGGCGGTCCCCACCCGGTTGGACCCTGCCGGTACCGGGAGGTGCCACCCGGGACCGGAGCGGCCGCGATTCAGCCCCGCCGGTACCGGGAGGAGCCGCGGAGCTCGGGGAGGGGCTGTGCCGGTACCGGAGCCGCTGCCGGCCCGGTAGCACCGGGCGAGAGGCCACGTCCGCGGCGGGATCCGGGATCCGGGGCTGGATCCCCCGAACCGCCGCGTTCCGGGGCCGAGCCCGGGGCTGCGGTAACGCCGCGGATTCCCGGCAGGAAAAACAAACACCGGGAAGAGCCGGAGCAGCCCCGTCACCCGAGGTGACCCGGAGGGCTCTGCCCGTGCCCGTGCCCGGGAATTCGGGGGGAAAGCGGAGCCCGGGAGGGGACGAGGGGACCCGGGGCTGCCGGGACCCGCTCGGGGCGCTCCTTCCCGGGGGTTCCCGTTAATTCCCGCATTTCCTCCTCTTTCGGGAGCCGGGCTTCGCGGCGGGGCGGGTTCAGTTCCAGCGGCGGCGGGATCGTGTCCCGCTCCCGGTTCTGCCCTCGCGGCTTTTGGGGCAGCGGGGTTCGCCCCGCTCGGTTTCCCGGGAATTCTGCCCCGGAGCTGGAATTCGCTCGAGGGCAGAAGTTGCGTTCGAGTTCGTTAAAAACCCGAATATCCCACGCACCAAAATCAGCTTTGGGGTTAAAAACCTCCAGAGCGGGCACGGGCAGAGAGCGCCGGGGGCAGCGCGCCGCTGTCCCGGGAATGCTCCCGGTATCCCGGCACTTCCCGGCTCCGAGAGCGGGTCCCGGTCCCGGCTCCCGGTATCCCGGCACTTCCCTGCTCCGGGAGCGGGTCCCGGTCCCGGCTCCCGTTATCCTGGCACTTCCCTGCTCCAGGAGCGGGTCCCGGTCCCGGCTCCCGGTATCCCGGCACTTCCCGGCTCCGGGAGCGGGTCCCGGTCCCGGCTCCCGGTATCCCGGCACTTCCCGGCTCCGGGAGCGGGTCCCGGCTCCCGGTATCCCGGCACCTCCCGGCTCCGGGAGCGGGTCCCGGTCCCGGCTCCCCGCGGCCGCTCCTCCCCGGTGCCGGGGCGGGACCGAGCGCGGCGGGGCCGATTTCGGGGAACCCGCGGGCGGCTCCGGCCGCTCCTCCCTCGGCTCTGGGGACAGAGATCCCCAAAACCCCGAAAGCCGCGCCACAAACCGCGCCGGGAAACGATTCCCGGCATTTCCCAGGCGTTTTCCCAAACTCGGGGAGATCCCGGCACTTCCCTGCTCCGGGAGCGGGTCCCGGTCCCGGCTCCCGTTATCCTGGCACTTCCCTGCTCCAGGAGCGGGTCCCGGTCCCGGCTCCCGGTATCCCGGCACTTCCCGGCTCCGGGAGCGGGTCCCGGCTCCCGGTATCCCGGCACTTCCCTGCTCCGGGAGCGGGTCCCGGTCCCGGCTCCCCGCGGCCGCTCCTCCCCGGTGCCGGGGCGGGACCGAGCGCGGCGGGGCCGATTTCGGGGAACCCGCGGGCGGCTCCGGCCGCTCCTCCCTCGGCTCTGGGGACAGAGATCCCCAAAACCCCGAAAGCCGCGCCACAAACCGCGCCGGGAAACGATTCCCGGCATTTCCCAGGCGTTTTCCCAAACTCGGGGAGTCGAAATTTTTATTCCTGAGCGATTATCCCGTTTATTTCCAGTCCCCCCGGCCGCGCTTTTTTTGGGGAGGGGAAACGCGGCTGCTTCGCTTCCCAAGGGAGCCACTTCTATTTGCGGGAAGGGGCTCGCGGCTGCCCCACCCCGCACCAAAATTCGGGATTTTCTCCGGCCGGGATTTCCATTCCCTCTTCCCTATCCCGCACCAAAATCCGGGATCCGCTCCCGCCGGGATTTCCATTCCCGCTGCCCCATCCCGCACCAAAATCTGGGATGCGCTCCCGCCGGGATTTCCATTCCCTCTTCCCTATCCCGGACCAAAATTCGGGATTTTCTCCGGCCGGGATTTCCATTCCCTCTTCCCTATCCCGGACCAAAATCCGGGATCCGCTCCCGCCGGGATTTCCCATCCCGCACCAAAATCCGGGATCCGCTCCCGCCGGGATTTCCCTTCCCGCTGCCCCCAGGGGCCGCCTGGCTGTGTCCGTGCGTTAATTCAGGTCCTGCAGATTTCCTAAATTATTTTTTCCCTCCCGTGGCAGCGGGATCAGGCTGGAGCTGGGAATTGCTGCTTTCTTGGGGTGGGATTTCCTTCCCCGTGTGCCGAGGATTTTGGGGTTTTTGGGATGCCAGGAGCCCCCCCAGCCCTCAGAGGATTTCAATCCCGAAATAACCCGCCCGGGACTCAATCCCCAAAAAACGCTGCCTCCGCTTCTGGGGTCTGCTTTGAGCCCATTCCTCGCGGGTTTGGGGCCGTTTTGGGGCCGGTTTTAGGGCAGGTTTGGGGCCGGTTTTGGGGTCGTTTTTGGGACAGGTTTGGGGTCGTTTTTGGGGCAGCAGCTCCTGCAGCCGCAGCTCGGGATGCTCCGAGCTCCTGCCGGGAGACGGGGCCGGGATCGTCCCGCTGGTCCCCGGCTCAGCCTTGTCCCCAGAAATGCCATCCCGGGGGCTCTGCCGTGCCCGGGGAGGGGGCACACCGGGACGGGGGGGCTCGTGTTGACTTTTCCCGGGATTTGGAGCAGCGGGGAGAGCCGGGAGGGGGGAATTGCTGCGGGAACGGTGCTGAAATCCGGGCTGGTCCCGGCGGCTCCTCGGGATGAGCCCAAAGGGGCCCGGGGGGCTCCGGCCCAGCCCGGCCCGGGTTTTGCCATCCGGGACAAATCTCCGGGACCGGCGGCTCCGTGGGAGGCTCCGGGGAGCCCCAGGGGTTCTGCCTGACCTCGCCTGCCCCAAAACCCCAAATTCTGCCCCTGGAACTTTTCCCACCCCGCAAACCCCAGCCCCTCGGGCCCAGAGGAGTTTTTGGGGCAGTGTCACTCCCCGTGCCCACGCTGTCCCCACCCCGGTGTCCCCCGTGTCCCCAGGGCTCTTTCTCTGCCTCCCAGCACCACAGACTCTCCCTGAGGCTTCATCCCAAATTATTTCCTCGCTGCTGGCAGCGACCAAGCAGTGACCAAAATTCCAGTTCCTCTTTCCTGTTAAATCCCTTTTTTTTTTTCCGTCTCTCCCGCTTTGGAAGCCGCTCCCAGCCTGACTGTGGCGTTGTTTGGCTCCAGGTTCTGTCTGTAAATAAACCCTCGAGTTCTGGTGGGTTTTGGAAACACCCAGCATGTGGTTCCAGGCCTCACAAAAAAGGGATTTTTCCAACATTTCCAGCGCAGGTTCCACCCCGGGCTCCGTTTCCGTGCGTCAGGTGCCGCCGCAGCCGCGGGTTTTTATTCCAGCCGAGTCACGGATCGTGTTTGTGCCCAAAATAGCCGGGAGCCGGGCTCCGATCCAGCCCAGTCCCCCACAAAATCACCTTCCCGCTGCCGGTGACAAATCCCGGGATCCTCCCGGCCCGGCCGAGCCGAGCTCGCGGTGCCCGGCCGCAATTCCCAGCGGGAATTCCCGATTTTCCAGCCGGCGCGGTGATTTCAGGGAGGTTTCCCCTCGCCGTGGACCACCAGGGGTCGGCAGAATTCCGCCTCGGTGGCATTCCCGGAGAACCTCTCCATCCAAAGGAACACCCCAAGGGAATTACCCCGGGAGAAAATCGGGGTGGGGGGTTTGGAGCAGGAGCAGGGACGCTGCTCCCGGGTTTGTTTTTTTGGCATTCCCAGGTTTTTGCTATTCCTTTTTTTTTTTTTTTTTTTTTTTTTTTTTTTTTTTTTTTTTTTTTTTTTTTTCCTTTTTGTTCTTCCCGGTTTTTATTTTTTTTTAATTTTTTTTTTGGCCGTTCCCTCTCTGCCCTCACGGGGAATCAGGAGGGATCAGCGGCTTCAAACGGGCTCTGCTCTCCTGCAGTTCCCCCACCCTGGAACAGAAGCTCCGGAACTCGGGAATACCCCGGGAAAAGCCCCGGGAAAAGCGCCGGGATTCACGGAATTCCCTCTTTTCTGTGCTTCGCAGCCCTGGCCCCGGGGATGGTGCCAGCATGAGGAGGTGCTGCCAGGGCGTGGGGCTGCCATGCCTGTTTAAGGTCAGTGCCACTGTCACCTCTGCCACCTCCCCTTCCCGGGCAGGGGGGGGTCGGGTCCCCAAAATGCAGAATTCCACCCTGGAGCGGCCGGGAAGGGCTGAGGGGAGCAGGGGATGCCAGGCCGGGTGGATTTGGGGTTCATGGAATGCCCTGAGCCGGGAGGGATCCCCCAGGATCGTCCAGCCCAGCTCCCGGCCCTGCAGGACACCCCAAAATCCCACCTGGGCATCCCCGGGGCCTTGGGAACGGGGCATTCCCTGGGGAGCTGTGCCCTAAAATCCCACCTGAGCCCCTGGGCTGTGCCCCCTGTCCCCGAGGTGGCACGGGAGGGGCTGTCACCCCTGTCTCAGCTGTCCCCACTGTCCCCGAGGTGGCACTGGAGGAGCAGGCTGGGCTGTCCCCCCCTGTCCCAGCTGTCCCCCCAGGCTGGGCTGTCCCCCCCAGTGTCCCCCTGTCCCAGCCCAGGTGTGCCGGCTCCAAGGCTGCCTCGCTGATCCCGGAGCTCTTTCCCAAGGCCGGAAATTCCCTGATCCCAGGACGCGCTGTCCCCTCTCGGCACAGTGACCTCCGGCCCGGATTAGCCGGGCAGGGCGATCCCGTTATGGGCAGGATTTGGGGCCTGGCAGGGGGATTAACCCCTCCCGGCCCGGCTGGGCTGACCAGCCCGGGCTCAGGTGGCCCCGGGCGGCCTCGTGGTGGCCACAAGGTACCAGCGGGGTTTGTCCCCCTGGCAGGGACTGGGAACGGCCGGTGCCACCACACCGCAATGGCAGCGGGGTCTGTCTGTCCCACACCCCAGTGACAGCGGGGTCTGTCTGTCCCACACCCCAATGACAGCGGGGTCTGTCTGTCCCACACCCCGGTGACAGCGGGGTCTGTCTGTCCCACACCCCAGTGACAGTGGGGTCTGTCCCAATGGCACCAGGGTCTGTCTGTCCCATACCCCACTGACAGTGGGGTCTGTCTGTCCCACACCCCAGTGACAGCAGGGTCTGTCCATCCCACACCCTGATAACAGTGGGGTTTGTCCCAATGGCAGCGGGGTCTGTCTGTCCCACACCCAGTAACACCCAGCTCTGTCTGTCCCACACCCAGTAACACCGTGTCTGTCTGTCCCACACCCAATAACACCCAGCTCTGTCTGTCCCACACCCAATAACACCCAGCTCTCTGTCCCACACCCAGTAACCCGTGTCCGTCTGTCCGTCCCCCGCAGGGCGCGGGCATGGCCGGCCCGCGGCCGCCCCGTTTCCTGCTGGTGTTCGACTTTGACGAGACCATCGTGGACGAGAACAGCGACGACTCGGTGGCGCGGGGCCGGGCGCTGCCGGAGCCGCTGCGCCAGAGCCCGCGCGGCGGAGGGTCTGTCCATCCCACACCCTGATAACAGTGGGGTTTGTCCCAATGGCAGCGGGGTCTGTCTGTCCCACACCCCAATAACAGCCAGGTCTGTCTGTCCCACACCCAGTAACACCGTGTCTGTCTGTCCCACACCCAGTAACACCGTGTCTGTCTGTCCCACACCCAATAACACCCAGCTCTGTCTGTCCTACACCCCAATAACACCCAGCTCTGTCTGTCCCACCCCCAATAACACCGTGTCTGTCTGTCCCACACCCAGTAACCCGTGTCCGTCTGTCCGTCCCCCGCAGGGCGCGGGCATGGCCGGCCCGCGGCCGCCCCGTTTCCTGCTGGTGTTCGACTTTGACGAGACCATCGTGGACGAGAACAGCGACGACTCGGTGGCGCGGGGCCGGGCGCTGCCGGAGCCGCTGCGCCAGAGCCCGCGCGGCGGCTCCTACAACGAGCACATGCAGCGCGTGCTGGCCTTCCTGGGCGAGCAGGGCGTGCGCCCCGCCGAGCTCAGGGCCGTCTACGAGAACATCCCGCTGTCCCCCGGCATGGCCGAGCTCTTCCAGCTCCTCTCCAAGCAGCAGGAGCTCTTCGAGCTGGTGCTCATCTCCGACGCCAACACCTTCGGCATCGAGGCCAAGCTGCGCGCGGCCGGCGTGCGCTCGCTCTTCCGCAAGGTCTTCAGCAACCCGGCCGGCTTCGACCGCCGCGGCGTGCTCACGCTGGGGCCCTACCACAGCCACAAGTGCCCGCGGTGCCCGGCCAACATGTGCAAGAGGAAGATCCTGGGGGAGTACCTGGAGGAGCGGGCGCGCGAGGACGTGGAGTTCCAGCGCGTCTTCTACGTGGGGGACGGCGCCAACGACTTCTGCCCCGCCGGGGCTCTGAGGGCGGCCGACGTGGCTTTCCCCAGGAAGGGCTACCCCATGCACAGGCTGATCCAGGAGAGCCAGGAGAAGCAGCCCGGGGCGTTCCCGGCCGCCGTGGTGCCCTGGGAGTCGGCGGCGGAGGTGGCGCGGTACCTGCAGGAGCTGCTCCGCAGGAAATGCTGAGCATCTCCCGGGATGTTCTCCTGCCTTTCCCAGCCCGTTCCTGGCCAGGGAAGCACTTTCTGCAGGCCCCTGGTCCTGCCTGGCCACGGAGCCACGGCCACAGCCGGCCCCCGCGCCCTTTGTGACCGGACCGGGATTTTTGGGGGAGTTGTTGCTTCCTTTCCCTTTTGACCTCGAAAGTGAATTCCCAAAAATGCAGCAGCCGGCTCCCCGCGGGCTGGGCACGTCCTTGCTCCTGCCATCCTCCCCCCGGCCTGCCTGGCCCTGGGCTCCTGATCCCGCTGGGAATTCTGGATAGGAAATCCCTGCTCCCTGGGCTCCTGATCCTGCTGGGAATTCCAGCTGGGAAATCCCTGCTCCCTGGGCTCCTGATCCTGCTGGGAATTCCAGCTGGGAAATCCCTGCTCCCTGGGCTCCTGATCCTGCTGGGAATTCTGGATAGGAAATCCCTGCTCCCTGGCCCCCACGCCCCACCCCGAGCCCTGCTCTGGGGCTCTCCCTCCCTGGGGATTCATTCCCGGGACAAACCGTGCCGGGAGCACCGGGAGAGCTTTGGGAAGGGGCAGAGCCTCTCCAGCCCCGTCCCGCCGGGCACAGGAGCCGCAGCAGGGCCCGGCCTCGCCCCTGCCAGCCGCGCTCCTCTCACCGTGTCCCCGCGGTGTCCCCGCGGTGTCCCCGCGTCCCCTCCCTGCCCCGAGCCCTTCCCTGGATCGTGCAGGGTCCCTCCTTCCCCAGGGAGGGTCAATTCCCCCCGAGCCGGGCACCCGCGAGGTGCCACAATCCCCCCGGGGGACACTGCTGGCACCAGAGGCCAGCCCCCCCCGCCCCCCGTCCGTGTCCCCCTCCCCACCGCAGTATTAATTAATTAATTAATTAATTACCCCTTCTAATTGCACTCTGCAGGGGCACCTCCAGCACCTGCTGCTCTCTGGGGTTGGCTCCCCCTGGATTTATCCTGGGTTTGTCCCGGTTTATCCTCAGCCTTCCCGGCCCCCGAGGGCTCCCCAAAGCCCCGCAGGAAACAACCAAAGCAGCCCCGAGTCGTTCCCCCTCCGTGCCACCCCCGCCCCTCGTCCTTCCTCCTCCTCCTCCTCCTCCTCCTGGACTGTGAGGAAATCAAAGCCATGGAATTAAAGCTGCAAACCCGTGTGAGAGAGGCAGAGCCGTGTATGGAGAAAACACCAGAGGGGGCACGGGCCCGCCTGGGACAGGCTCCGAGCCGCAGCCCGGGGTGCCTCCTGCTCCTGGGGGTGCCTCTGGATCCTGGGGGTGCCTCTGGATCCTGGGGGTGGCTCTGGATCCTGGGGGTGCCTCTGGGTCCTGGGGGTGCCTCTGGGTCCTCGAGGGTGGCTCTGGCTCCTGGGAGTGCCTCTGGATCCTCGGGGGTGGCTCTGGATCTCCTGGGGGTGGCTCCTGCTCCTGGGGGTGCCTCTGGATCCTGGGGGTGCCTCTGGATCCTGGGGGTGGCTCTGGATCCTGGGGGTGCCTCTGGGTCCTGGGGGTGCCTCTGGGTCCTCGAGGGTGGCTCTGGCTCCTGGGAGTGCCTCTGGATCCTCGGGGGTGGCTCTGGTTCTTCTGGGGGTGGCTCCTGCTCCTGGGGGTGCCTCTGGATCCTCGGGGATGGCTGGGCAGGGGCTGGGCCAGGGGATCCAGGGGGTTTGGGACCCTCTGTAAGGGGGTTTGGGACCCTCTGCACCTCTCTGCAGGGGTTTGGGACCCTCGGTACCTTTCTACAGGTAGCTCTCCGGGGCCCACGGGGGCTCCTCTGCGGCTGGTGGCGGTGGCAGGGCCAGGTCCCCAAAGTCAGGCACAGCTGGGGGTGGTGGCAGCAGCTCGAGGTCCTCGGGGGCTGCGAAAGCCCCAGAAGGGGTGAGGGGGGAAGGGGCTCACCACGGCCAGAAGGGACAGGGACGGGTCACGCGCTGCCCCCCGTGTCCCTGCCACCCCCAGAAGGGACAGGGACGGGTCACACGCTGTCCCCCGTGTCCCTGCCACCCCCAGAAGGGACAGGGACAGGTCACACGCTGCCCCCCGTGTCCCTGTCACCCCCAGAAGGGACAGGGACAGGTCACACACTGTCCCCGTGTCCCTGTCACCCCCAGAAGGGACAGGGACGGGTCACGCGCTGCCCCCGTGTCCCTGTCACCCCCCGGAGCACTGAGCACTCACCTGGAGGGGGGAATTCTGGTGGGGGCACGGCCAGGTCCCCAGGGAGGGGTGGCAGCAGGTCCCCGGGCACGGGTGGCAGCAGGTCCCCGGGCAGGGGTGGCAGCAGGTCCCCGGGCACGGGTGGCAGCAGGTCCCCAGGGAGGGGTGGCAGCAGGTCCCCAGGGAGGGGTGGCAGCAGGTCCCCGGGCAGGGGTGGCAGCAGGTCCCCGGGCACGGGTGGCAGCAGGTCCCCAGGGAGGGGTGGCAGCAGGTCCCCAGGGAGGGGTGGCAGCAGGTCCCCGGGCACGGGTGGCAGCAGGTCCCCAGGGAGGGGTGGCAGCAGGTCCCCAGGAAGGGGTGGCAGCATGTCCCCGGGCACGGGTGGCAGCAGGTCCCCAGGAAGGGGTGGCAGCAGGTCCCCAGGCAGGGGTGGCAGCAGGTCCCCAGGCAGGGGTGGCAGCAGGTCCCCAGGCAGGGGTGGCAGCAGGTCCCCAGGCAGGGGTGGCAGCAGGTCCCCAGGCAGGGGTGGCAGCAGGTCCCCAGGCAGGGGTGGCAGCAGGTCCCCGGGCAGGGGTGGCGGAGGCGGGATGGCAGTGGCAGGCGGGGGTGGCCCCGGAGGGGACGGTGCCAGCAGGGGTGGCCCTGGCAGCGGTGGCGGGGCAGGAATTCCGTCCCCAGGGGCTGCCGGGGCCCCGCGGGAGCTGGGGGGGAAGGAGCAGCAGTGTCAGGCTGGGGGTCCCTGTGTCCCCACCCTGAGCACAGACACTGTCCCGTGCCAGGACAAGGTGGCACCGTGTGGCACGAGGCTCTGCAGCGTGCAAACCCTTCCCCACCCCGTGCCCCATTCCCCATCATTCCTGCCATTATTTCCCATCATCATTTCCCACCATTATTTCCCACCATTATTTCCCATCGTTCCCATCATTTCCCATCGCTCCCCCTCTCCCTAAAGGACATCCTTGCTCTGCACATGAGCCCTGCCAGGGAAGGAAATCCCCCAAATCCCTTTATTTGCTCCCCAAACCCCATTTTTCCCCCAAACCCCTTTATTTCCCCCAAACCCCTTTATTTCCCCCAAACCCCTTTATTTCCCCCAAACCCTTTATTTCCCCCAAACCCCTTTATTTCCCCCAAACCCCTTTATTTCCCCCAAACCCTTTATTCCCCCAAACCCCTTTATTTCCCCCAAACCCCTTTATTTCCCCCAAACCCCTTTATTTCCCACACCCCGAGCACCGGGAGCTGCCCCGTACCCGGGGGGCAGCGGGGAGGAGCTGCAGGAGCTGCTCGGGAGCTTCCCCACGGGAACCACGGGCGGCTGCACCGGCTCGGGGACACGGCTGCTCCTCCTGCGGGGACCGGACGGGATGGGATTGACAGGATGGGATGGGATGGGATGGGATGGGATCAGTGGGGTGGGATGGGATGGAATGGGATCAGTGGGGTGGGATGGGATGGGGTCCATGGGATGAGATGGGATGGGACGGAATGGGATGACGGGAACCACGGGCGGCTGCACCGGCTCGGGGACACGGCTGCTCCTCCTGCGGGGACCGGACGGGATCAGTGGGACGGGATGGGATCAGTGGGGTGGGATGGGATGGAATGGGATCAGTGGGGTGGGATGGGATGGGGTCCATGGGATGAGATGGGATGGGACGGAATGGGATGGGATGGGATGGGATCCATGGGTTCAGTGGGACAGGATGGGATGGGATGGGATTGATGGCATAGGATCAATGGGACAGGATGGGATAGGATGCGATGGGATCAATGGGATCAATGGGATCAATGGGACAGGACGGGATGGGATGGGGTCCATGGGATGGGATGGGATTGATGGGATGAGATTGACAGGATCAGTGGGATCAATGGGATCAACGGGATCAATGGGATGGGATGGGATCAATGGGATGGGACGGGACCCCGACAGAGGTCTCGTGCCACCACCCCTCGGTGACAGAGCAGGGCCACCCCCCCGGCCCGGCCCGTCTCACCCCAGCGTTCCCGCAGCCGGTGCCGAGCAGGATTTGGTGCGTTCAGTGGGACAGGATGGGATGGGATGGGATTGATGGCATAGGATCAATGGGACGGGATGGGATGGGATCAATGGGATCAATGGGATCAATGGGATCAATGGAACAGGACGGGATGGGATGGGGTCCATGGGATGGGATGGTTGGAGTGTGATGGGATGGGGTCCATGGGATGGGATGGGATTGATGGGATGAGATTGACAGGATCAGTGGGATCAATGGGATCAACGGGATCAATGGGATGGGATGGGATCAATGGGATGGGACGGGACCCCGACAGAGGTCTCGTGCCACCACCCCTCGGTGACAGAGCAGGGCCACCCCCCCGGCCCGGCCCGTCTCACCCCAGCGTTCCCGCAGCCGGTGCCGAGCAGGATTTGGTGCTTTTCCGAGCCAGGGTGCCGGTGCGGGACAGCTGCGTGCTGGTGTCCTGCGGCACGGGGACACGGGCCACGGGGACACGGGGACAAAAGGGGACGACACACAGACACACACAGACACGGGGACACACGGAGACATGGGGACACACGGAGACACACAGACATGGGGACACACGGACACGGGGACACGGGGACACACGGACACGGGGACACACGGGGACACGGGGACACACAGACATGGGGACACATGGACACGGGGACACACGGACACAGGGACACATGAATACGGAGACACACGGAGACACGGACACAGGGACACATGTGGGTGACACCCCTGCCCGTGACCTCCGGGCACCGCGGGGCTGTGACATCCCCGCGGCGGGCTCGGGGAGCAGCGGAAGGCGCCGGGGCTGCGGGGGCGGCCCCGAGGCAGCGGCTCCGTGGGAACCGCGGCCGCCCCGAGCCCGCCGGGGGATTTCCGCACTGGGGGAGGATCTGCGGGGCTGAGAGGCCTCCAAAACCCTCCTGGGGGCACTTTTCAGAGCTGGGAGAGGCTCACGGGGCTCTGAGGATCCCAAATCCCTCCTGTGGGCACTTTTCAGAGCTGGGAAAGGCTCACGGGGCTCTGAGGATCCCAAATCCCTCCTGGGGGTTTTTTTCAGAGCTGGGAAAAGCTCATGGGGCTCTGAGGATCCCAAATCCCTCCTGGGGGGTTTTTCAGAGCCGGGAGAGGCTCACGGGGCTCTGAGGATCCCAAATCCCTCCTGGGGGGTTTTCCAGAGCTGGGAAAGGCTCACAGGGCTCTGAGGATCCCAAATCCCTCCTGTGGGCACTTTCCAGAGCTGGGAAAGGCTCACGGGGCTCTGAGGATCCCAAATCCCTCCTGGGGGTTTTTTTCAGAGCTGGGAAAAGCTCATGGGGCTCTGAGGATCCCAAATCCCTCCTGGGGGGTTTTTTCAGAGCTGGGAAAAGCTCATGGGGCTCTGAGGATCCCAAATCCCTCCTGGGGGGTTTTCTGGAGTTTGAGGATCCCAAAACCCTCCTGGGGGCACTTTTCAGAGCTGGGAGAGGCTCACGGGGCTCTGAGGATCCCAAATCCCTCCTGTGGGCACTTTTCAGAGCTGGGAAAGGCTCATGAGGCTCTGGGGATCCCAAATCCCTCCTGGGGGTTTTCCAGAGCTGGGAAAGGCTCACGGGGCTCTGGGGATCCCAAATCCCTTCTGTGGGGTTTTTCCAAAGCTGGAAAAGGCTCTGTGGGGTGCCAGGCCCCCAAAGCTGAGTGGGCACGGACAGACCCCCCTTCTCCACGGAGGAGGGGTCTCAGCCACCCGTGCACCCCTCAGGGGACACTGGGGACTGATCAATGCCACCCAAGCCCCCCGTGCTGACCTTGACCCCGTGGCCGACGCCGTCCAGCGCGCTGAAGTTGAGGGGTTTCCTGTAATAGGGCTCCAGCACGGGGGGCTCTGGGGGGGCCACGACCTTCTGGTAGCTCAGGAGCCTCCTGGTGACGGTCAGGGCGCCGATCTCGCGGCGTGACACCTTCTCCTTGTGGATGTCCACGCTCTGCCGAGGTGACACTGTCACCAAGGTCCCGTCCCAGGCTCTCCCCCCTCCCCCGGGTGCCACCATCCCTGCAGCAATGTCCCCAAGCTCTGGGTGGCATTGGGACCCTGCAACATTGTCCCCAAGCTCTGGGTGGCCGCAGGACCCTGCAGCAGTGTCCCCAAGCTCCTGCTGGCCACAGGACCCTGCAGCATTGTCCCCAAGCTCTGGGTGGCACTGGGACCCTGCAGCAGTGTCCCCAAGCCCCAGGAGGACAAGGCCAGGCTCCAGCACGGGGACAGTGTGGCAGCCAGGCCAACGCTCTGAGCTCCACTCGGAGATTTGGGGGCACTTTGGGATCGGCAGATGTGACAGCAAAACACCCCCGAGGCCAATTCCCGACCCCTGGGGGTGGTTCTGCACTCCCAGTGCACGGGGCGGGGGGGTCTGCAGCCCCTCGGAGCCGCCCAAGCCTTGTCCCAAGCCCACCCCGCAGTGTCCCACTGTCCCCAGCGTCCCACCTGTGCCACGCAGGCGATGTCGGCCTCCACCCGGCGCAGCTGGGCCGCCTGCAGCTCCAGCAGGCGCAGGAAGGCGCTGGCCAGGCTGCTGACCTGGTAGGTGACACTGGCCAGGGACTGCGTGCTCAGAGCCATCGTCTCCTCCAGCGCCTTCCTCTTGTCGCTGGCCTGCGGGGGACACAGCCGGCCGTGGGACAGAAAAACCGCAGGTGTTTCCTTCCGCTTTCCAAATGCCTCACGCTTCCCCCCGCTCCAGCGCGCCGGCGGGAGGGGGCATCCAGGGATTCCCCGGGATTCCTGACGGGAACGATGTCCCGGAGGGTTCCGGAGGACACGGAGTGCCCGGAGCAGCCTCTGGCCACCCCTGGGGACAGCCAGGGAGCCACATGTGGGACAGCTGGGGTGGCAGCAGCTGTGATTGGGCTCTCAGCGCTGCTGGGCTCTCAGCCCTCTCAGCCCTTTTGGGGCTCTCAGCCCTGCTGGGGCCCTCAGCCCTTTTGAGGCTCTCAGCCCTTTTGGGGCTCTCAGCCCTGCTGGGGCCCTCAGCCCTTTTGAGGCTCTCAGCCCTTTTGGGGCTCTCAGCCATTCTGGGCTCTCAGCCCTCTCAGCCCTTTTGGGGCTCTCAGCCCTGCTGGGGCCCTCAGCCCTCTCAGCCCTTTTGAGGCTCTCAGCCCTTTTGAGGCTCTCAGCCCTTTTGAGGCTCTCAGCCCTGCTGGGTTCTCAGCCCTCTCAGCCCTTTTGGGGCTCTCAGCCCTGCTGGGGCTCTCAGCCATTCTGGGCTCTCAGCCCTCTCAGCCCTGCTGGGGCTCTCAGCTCCCGGAACAGCTCAGCTCATTTCCCTTCGGTTCTGCCCCGCTGGCTCCGGGCCCTCAGAGAGGCCACAGCCCCGGTCCTGGGGGGCACAGGGGACCCCTGCCCGGCAGGGAGGGCCAGAGGGGCATTTCCTTCTGCCTTCATCTCCTACCCCGGCCCTCAGGGAGCCAGGCAGGGAGCAGGAGAAGGAGGATGAGGAGAAGCAGGATGAGGATGAGGAAGAGCACGAGGAGGAGGACAAGGCATGTGCCAGCAGAGCTTCACGCTCACCCTGCGAGTGCAGGCCCCGCCGGGTGCCACCTCCCAGCCCCTGGAGGTGACACACACCTGGCCCCGGTGCCACCAACCCCCTGGAGAACCCCCCCTGCACCCCAAAGCCCCGCGGGAGCCGCTGGGGAGCCGAGGAGAAGCCAAGGCACGGGGAAAACGCAGCCGAGGGCGGCCGGGGCAGGCGGGCCGGGAGCCAGCGGGGATGCTGGGGCTCCCGGGGCACCGCTCCAGCAGCCACCCCGCGGGGCTGGCATCGCCCCCGGCCCGGCCCGGCCCGGCCCGGCCCGGCCCTGACCTGCAGGTAGTTGCTGTGGCAGTAGTCGGCCACCCGCAGCAGGTTGCCGTGCTGCTCCCGCAGCCGCTGCCGGCCCGCGGGGATGTCGCTGTGCCGCAGCCGCTCCAGCTCCGACATCGCCTCGCTCTCGGCTCCCACTTCCTCCCCGCTGCGCGTTTTGAAGCCGCTGCCGGCGCTGACGCAGGGCCCGCGGGCGCCGCGGTGTCCCCGTCCCGCCGAGGGACACCCCGCCCTGCCGGCGACAAGCGGGGGGCTGGCGGGGAGGAAGGCACGGGGCCCCGGCCGCGGCGGGGATGGCAGCGGGGAAGGATGTGAGTCACGGGGAACCGGGGCTGCACGTCGGGGAGTGACCCCAGAAGGATCCCGACCCCAAAAGTATCCCGACCCCAAAGGGATCCCAAATCCAGAAGGACCCCAAATCCAGAAGGATCCTGACCCCAGAAGGATCCAGACCCCAAAGGGATCCCAAATGCAGAAGGATCCCAACTCCAGAAGGATCACGACCCCAGAAGGATCCAGAACCCAAAATCATCCCGACTCCAAAGGGATCCAGAGCCCAGAAGGATCTCGACCCCAAAAGGATCCTGACCCCAAAGGGATCCAGAATCCAGAAGGATCCAGACCCCAGAAGCATCCCGACTCCAGAAGGATCCTGACTCCAGAGGGATTCTGACCCCAAAAGGATCCCGACCCCAAAGGGATCCCGACCCTAAAATCATCCCGACCCCCATCTCTGCTCCTGTGCCCAGGAGCCACCGCCGCCCCCCTCGGGGCTCGGCACGTCCCGCAATCCGCGGAGCTCTCGCCGCCCTTGGCTGCGCGCCTCGCCCGCCCGGTAGAGGCAAAGGAAGGGAATGTTCGTGGATTCCGGGATGCTCCCGGTGCCAGTGCCCCTCCCCGCGCAGCCTCTCCCGGAGCCGGGCACAGCGGGACGAGCCCGGTGACCCCCGAGGTGCTCGGGCCCCCTGGCTGGGGACAGCGGGGACAGCGCGTCCTTCGCCAGGGACGTTTCACATCCCCGCAGGAAATTCCCACTTCCCGGGGCTCGGAAAGCCGCGCCAGCCTCTGCTCTGCTCCTGCTCCACCCCCAGGTGCTTCCCTGCGGCCTCCCGGGCTCTGTCCCCAGCCCTGGGGCCGGGCCCTTCCTGAGCCCATCCCGAGGGAAACGATGATGGATTTCCTCCGGTCCCGCTCCTCACAGCCCCGGCACCGGCACGGAGCTGCCCCCGGCCCCCGGAGCTGCCCCCGGCCCCCGGAGCTGACCCCGGCTCCCCTCCCAAACGGGGGGAAGCTGCCGGGACCCCCAGGGGTCAGCCCCGGGGTCAGTCCCAGGGGTCACTCCCGGGATCACTCCCAGGGGTCACTTTCAGTGGTCACTCCCGGGGTCACTCTGGGGTCACTCCCAGCGGTCATTCCCGGGGTCACTCCCAGGGTCACTCCCAGGGGTCACTCCCAGGGGTCACTCCCAGGGGTCACTCCCAAGGGTAATTTCCAGGGGTCACTCCCAGAGGTCACTCCCGGGGTCACTCCCGGGGTCACTCCCGGGGTTACTTCCAGGGGTCATTTCCAGGGGTCACTCCCAGGGGTCACTCCCGGGGTCACTCCCAGGGGTTATTTCCAGGGGTCACTCCCAGAGGTCACTCCCCCGGGGTCACTCCCGGGGTCACTCCAGGGTCACTCCGGGGTCACTCCCGGGGTCACTCCAGGGTCACCCCCGGGTCACTCCGGGGTCACTCCCGCCTCTCCGGGCAGGACCCGGACACTCCGGGCTCGGTGTCCCGGGCAGGCCCTGGGGGCTCCGGGGGCGTCCCGGCCGGACCCCACCCACCCCTCCTGCCCCGCCCCGCCCCGGCCCGATTAGGCCGGGCTTTGGGGCTAATTCCCGACACCTGACCGGCTTAGGCTCCTGAGTCCATTATCAGCTTAGGAGCAAAGACATCTGCTGCCGGCAGAGCCCGGAGCCCGCAGCAGCCTCTCCTCTCCCCTCCATGGGGCTCTGAGCGGCCCCAGCGCGCACAGGGGCCCCCCCGGCCCCCCAGGTGAGTGCCTCCGCTCCTCCGCGGCGATTTGGGCACCAGGAGCCGCTTTCCCCCCGGTTTTGGGAGCTCCCGGGGCTGGCGGTATCCCCAGGGATGTGTGGGCACGGGGCACGCGTGCCATGGGGTTTTTTGGGAAAAAGAGTTGGGTTTTCCCAACCTCCACGGCCCCAAAAGCTTCAGGAGAGTGCAAATAACGGAGTTCAGGGTGACGGAGGAGCCGTGCTGTAAGAGCTGGAGGAAAGGAAAGCTGAAATGAGTTAAATTCCTTGGGAAAGCGGGGAAGGTGTTCCCAGGCAGTGGTCAGGGGCACCAGGGGGTCACAGTCCTGCTGGCACACAGCAAAAATGCCAATAATCAGCCGTGCCTCAGTTCCAGGGCACAATGGCTCAGGACATGACCGAGAAGGAGCTGCTGAAGATGGAGCTGGACCAGCTGAAGAAGGAGGTGAAGAACGAGAGGCAGATGGTGAGTTCCTCGCTGCAGCCAGGGCAGGAGGGGAGCTGTGCTTCCTCAGGGCAGGGAAAGACCCCCAGGGCCCGAAATCCACCCCCAAAGCCAGGCAGGAGCACCCACACCGCCCCTAAAGCTCTGGGGTGCTCTGAGACACCCCAGGGGTGGTTTTGGGATGGCCCAGGGATTATTTGGGATGCCCCAGGGGTGGTTTTGGGATGCCCTGAGACACCCCAGGGGTGGTTTTGGGATTTCTGGCACATCCCAGGGATGGTTTTGGGATGCCCCAGGGGTGGTTTAGGGCCCCCCCAGGGGTTATTTGGGACGCCCCAGGGACAGTTTAAAGACACCCCATGCCGGGTCCGTGTCCCACTCCCCTGCCCCAGCCCCAGGCCGGCTCCGATGCAGATCCCCCAGTACAGATCCCCCAGTACAGATCCCCCTGGCAGATCCCCCAGTACAGATCCCCCCGTGCAGATCCCCATTGTAGATCCCCAGAGCAGGTCCCTGGTGCAGATCCCTGTGCAGATCCCTCCCCGTTGCATCCTCCCGTTGCAGATCCCTGTTGCAGATCTCCAGTGCAGATCCCCGTTGCAGACTCCCCCCATTGCAGATCCCCTTGCAGATCCCTGGTGCACATCCCTGGTGCAGATCCCCCTGTGCAGATCCCCCCGTGCAGATCCCCCCTGGGCATCCCCCATTGCAGATCCCCCCGTTGCAGATCCCAGTGCAGATCCCCGTTGCATATCCCCCCCCATTGCAGACC